TTGGGGCCATCTTGGAGGCCACTTGGGCCGTCATGGGGCCCTCTTGGGGGCCTCTTGGGCGATCTTGGGGGCCTCTGGGGCCGTCTTGAGCCGTGGGAATGCCGAGAAGAAGCAACTTCCAAAATCCTAAGGAACATCAATGATTTCGGCCTCTTCGGGCCCTCCTGGAGGACCTCTTGGAGGCCTCTTGGGCCGTCTTGGGCCGTCTTGGAGGCTTCTTGGGCGAACTTTGAGGTATCTTGGACCCTGTTGGGCCGTCTCGGAGGCCGTTTTGGACCATCTTGGGTGGACTTGGAGGCCATCTTGGACCATCTTGGAGGCCATCTTGGGCCAACGTGACCATCTTGGAGGCCATGTTGGGCCGTCTTGGAGGAAGAATTGGGATTGGGCGATGGCATGTGCGTCTCACGGGTCTTGGGGAGCGGCTGGCGGGACGGGCCGAAACCCATTGGGAGAGTTCTTTTGGAAAATGAACCAAAACCAAAACCGAAAGGATCCAGCACGCCAGGCACCCCTGCGATGAATCGACAGGGGGCGGCATATCGAAGACGCCTACGGGGAATCACCGCCGCCCCCTGCCTTTTTGGAAGCGCCTATGTGGCCGAACGTTGAGGCCAGACCTGCCAAGCTATCGGACCACGTGTTCCCCGAATCGGTTTGGAAAGCCTTCGGGGAACACGTGGGCATCTTGAAGGTCATCTTGGCCGTCTTGGAGGCCTCTTGGGCAAGCTTTGGGCGATCTTTGGGGCTTTTTGGGCCGTCTCGGGCCAGCTTCGAGCCAACTTCGGCCATCTTGGTGGGTTCCTGGCACGTCTGAAGCCGTCGGAAGCCGTTTGGGGGGCCTCTATGGGCCGACTTGGGGCCCGCTTGGAATGCTCCAGGGCCGTCTTGGAGGCCATCTTGGGCGTCTGGGAGGCCATCTTGGGCGTGTTGGAGGCCTCTTGGGCCCTCTTGGGGCCCTCTAGGGGCCATCTTGGAGGCCACTTGGGCCATCATGGGGCTCTCTTGGGGGCCTCTTGGGCGATCTTGGGGGCTTCTTGGGCCGTCTTGAGCCGTCGGAGAGCCGAAAAGGCGCAAATGCCAAAATCCTTCAAAAACCATGGGAAAATCAATGATTTTGGCCTCTTCGGACTCTCCTGGAGGACCTCTTGGAGGCCTCTTGGGCCGTCTGGGAGGCCTCTGGGGGGCCTCTTGGGCCGTCTTGGGCCGTCTTGGACTCTCTTGGGCCGTTTTGGAGGCCGTCTTGGACCATCTCGGGCGGACTTGGAGGCCATCTTGGGCCATCTTCGCGATTTTTTGAGGATGTCCCGAGCGAAACGGCCGTTTTTGGGCATTGACAGACGCATTTTGGGAAATGCGCGGGTGGCCGGCGGGACGGGCCGAAGCCCACTGGGGAGTTCTTTTAGAAAAAGAACCAAAACCAAAACTGAATCATCCAGCACGCCGTGCACCCCTGCAAGCAGGGGGCGGCGGATCGAAGACGCCTACGGCGAATCACCGCCGCCCCCTGCCTTTTTGGAAGCGCCTATGTGGCCGAACGTTGAGGCCAGACCTGCCAAGCTATCGGACCACGTGTTCCCCGAATCGGTTTGGAAAGCCTTCGGGGAACACGTGGGCATCTTGAAGGTCATCTTGGCCGTCTTGGAGGCCTCTTGGGCAAGCTTTGGGCGATCTTTGGGGCTTTTTGGGCCGTCTCGGGCCAGCTTCGAGCCAACTTCGGCCATCTTGGTGGGTTCCTGGCACGTCTGAAGCCGTCGGAAGCCGTTTGGGGGGCCTCTATGGGCCGACTTGGGGCCCGCTTGGAATGCTCCAGGGCCGTCTTGGAGGCCATCTTGGGCGTCTGGGAGGCCATCTTGGGCGTGTTGGAGGCCTCTTGGGCCCTCTTGGGGCCCTCTAGGGGCCATCTTGGAGGCCACTTGGGCCATCATGGGGCTCTCTTGGGGGCCTCTTGGGCGATCTTGGGGGCTTCTTGGGCCGTCTTGAGCCGTCGGAGAGCCGAAAAGGCGCAAATGCCAAAATCCTTCAAAAACCAAGGGAAAATCAATGATTTGGGCCTCTTCGGACTCTCCTGGAGGACCTCTTGGAGGCCTCTTGGGCCGTCTGGGAGGCCTCTGGGGGGCCTCTTGGGCCGTCTTGGGCCGTCTTGGACTCTCTTGGGCCGTTTTGGAGGCCGTCTTGGACCATCTCGGGCGGACTTGGAGGCCATCTTGGGCCATCTTCGCGATTTTTTGAGGATGTCCCGAGCGAAACGGCCGTTTTTGGGCATTGACAGACGCATTTTGGGAAATGCGCGGGTGGCCGGCGGGACGGGCCGAAGCCCACTGGGGAGTTCTTTTAGAAAAAGAACCAAAACCAAAACTGAATCATCCAGCACGCCGTGCACCCCTGCAAGCAGGGGGCGGCGGATCGAAGACGCCTACGGCGAATCACCGCCGCCGTGCGTGGGTTTTGGTGGATGCTTCTTAGGTCTCTTCGGAGGGCTCTCTGGGATGCTTCTCTGCGGCAGTTGTGAGGCCTCCTGGGGGCCTCGTGGATGCCTCTTGGGGGCCTCTTGGGGCTTCCCGGCGGCCTCTTGGGGGCTTCTTGGGGCCTCCTGGGGGATTCTTGGGGGCGTCTTGGGGCCCGATGTCCGTTCGTGTTCCTTCTCTGGGGTCCCTCTTGTGGCGTTCTCGGGGCCCTCTTGGGCCGTCTTGGGGGTGCCATCTCAGCGCCCTCTTGGCGGTCTCTTAGGCCGTCTTGGAGCGATCTGTTGTGTTTCTTGGGCCATTAGCGCTGGGAAGCCGAAAAGACAGAAACGCGAACATCGTTCAAACACCATGACAATCACATGACTTTTGCCTCTCGGGGTCCTCTTGGGACTGCTGCTGGACGCCTCTTGGGGCGTCTTGGAGGTGTCTTGGGTCGCCTGGAAGCCACCTTGGGCGTCTTGGCGCGATCTTTCGGCAAGTCTGGGCCCTCTTGGACTGCCTGGGCGGCCCCCTGGGGGTCCTCTTGGCCTGCTTTGGGGGCCCTCCTGGGCGAGGGGGCCGCCCTGGAGGCCCACGCGGTTCCCCCCCGAAAGCGCCCGGCAGCGCAGAGGAGTTCCCGGGAACGCCGGGAGCTTCGCGGTCCGAGCCTTCAGCGAGAGCCGTGCAGCCTCGCCACCCACCCGCCAGAGCTGCACGAGCCCTGGGGACTCCGCTTCGTTAGGAGGCCACATGCGAACCCTACCCCTACCCCCCACGATGTCTGAGCGGGAGGGTGGGGCTCACTTCGCTCGGGAGCTCCCGAACGGAGTGAACCCCACCCTCCCCCTCGGAAATCGTGGGGGGTAGGGGTAGGGTTCGCCGGGGGCCCCCTATTCGTGCTGGAGGCGCGGTGGCGGATCTGAACCACTGTTCGCCCTGCGGCTGGGCAGCCGAGCCTCCTGCGTGACGTCCAGGTGCGCCACTGCACGTGTTGAAAACCTCGATACTCCAGGGTGGGGCTGCCGCCTGGGTAGGGGGGGGGGGCGCATCGTGTTACAGTTGCAGGAGGAGTAGGAGGAGGACCAGAGTGAGCCAAGGATGCGTCAACGATGCTGCAATTCTTCCTCCCGTCCCAAGCCCTCGCAAGTCCCCTTGAATGGCGAGCGCCCATGGGGTGTGCCACTCGGGCGAGACCCGATGTCGTAAAGGATCCACCCTCCATCCTATGGCTGGAAGTCTGGGTAAGATGTTGCATTGGTATAGTAACGCTCACAGAAGTGTCCATCGATCACCTTGTTTCGAAAAGAGTTTTCGCTTCATTCGTGTAAGTAGCATTATCTGTCAAATGCGATGGTCATCAAACTCGTGGCAGTCTCAAGTGAGAGCCCCTTGCACACGGTTGAATTCCGTGTCATCGAATTCGAGGAAGTCTCTCTCTCTCGCTCTTTATTTTTTTTTATTTCTCTCTCTCTCTCTCTCTCTCGAGAGAGAGAGAGAGAGAGAGAGAGCGAGAGAAAGAGAGAGATATAGAGAGCGACATATTGAGGCGCATCTTGAGAACGAAGCGGCCTCCATCCATGTGGTTGTTGGAAGCTTTGAAGACGAAGGTGCGCGGTGCTAAGACACGAGTCGCATTGCGGCAACGAGCCACCCTCCATCATTGTAAGTGGTGAGAGTTTTTGATATTGACGTGGTTGGCGCTTGAGCAAGCGACCCCTTCGCTCTCCATACTTGTATCTGTTGCATGCTCTGGACAAGTGTGCAGGAGGCAGCCGTTTTTTTGAAACCAGGGTTCCTCCATCTTTCTGTAATTGTTGGAAGGTTTGAGGACACATGTGCGCGGCGCTAGGGCGAGAGCCGCATAGTGGACACATGCGGAGGGATGGCCGGGTCTGGGTCCATCGCTGGTTTTTGCTCTCCGCGCGCGGCTCGGCGTATCGTTTGTGGTGTTGGGGATCGCCCCCTTGAGGGGCAGCGGATCTTTGCGATGTGTATGGAAAAATCATAGTGGACACGTGCGGCCTTCCATCCTTGTAACTGATCGGCTGCTATGTTTTCAGGGTCGTAGATCGCAGGAATGTCCCTGGCCAAACGCCCAGCCTGGCCTACGAACATGTCTGGTGTCGCGACAGGGGGGGAAGCTCTCTGCAAGGGAGGGGGACGAAGGAGGAGAGGGAGGAAGACTGCGAGGATGAGGTGGAGGAGAGGAGAACCCTGAGATCCGACCCTGCGAAACAGTGCAACATCGCGAACAACATGAGTGGGGCCCCAGACCTCATCTTTCCGTTGCGTTTTCCGAGCCATCTTGATTTGTGATGGTCCGTGGGGCCCGAAGCCCTGGCGAGCACGCCTGGCGTGACCACACCGCAACGCCCAGCGAGGACGAGGAGGAGGAGGAGGAGGAGGAGGAGGAGGAGGAGGAGGAGGGAGGAGGATCAGGAGAAGGGAGGAGGAGGAGGGAGGAGGAGGAGGAGGAGGAGGAGGAGGAGGAGGAGGCGAGCGGCAAGGGAGGGCTTGCGGAGGCCACCCGCGCCGACCCCCGCGCGCGCGGAGGACCCCGGCCGCGCGCCTCCCGCGGGGCCCGCCGGCCTCGGCGCCGCCGTGCCGCCGCCCGCGGCCGCGCGGGCGTGGCACGCCGAGGCGGGGCGGGGCGACCCCGGGGGAGAGTTCGTGCCGCGCTCGGCCTGCCTCAGGTCACCACCCACCAAACCACCCCAACCCAACCCGAAGGCCTCAATCAGTCCTCCATTTCCAGTGGGGGGGGGGGGTCGGGGAACACTGAAAAGACACGGGTGGAACCCTTACCCCCCCCAACCCGAACTTCGGGTATTCGGGTTGGGTTGGGGTGGTCTGGTAGGTAGTCATCTAGGCCTCCTAGACGGGGTCGGAGTGGGTGGGGTCGGAGGATCGGCCGCATCGCCGATGCATCGGCGGTGCATCGCCGATGCGGCCCGTTGTGGGGTCCACTTTTCTCCACGCCGGCGTCGCCGATGCATCGTCGACGTCGCCAGTGCATCGCCGATGCACTGCCTCGCCGATGTATCGGCGATGCGGCGAGATCATCCGACCCCCTCTACTCGGACCCCATCCAGGAGGCCTTTACTGCCGCCTCCCCGGTCGGGCCGCTGCTGGCGGCTCCTCCTTCCCTGGCGGCGCTCGCGCTGGCGATGCAGGAGCTGCAGACTTGTCCTGAGATTTCCCGTCGAGGGCGCCCGCAGTCGCAGCGATGGCCGCCCGGCGAAGGATGGGCGCTGGTGTGGATAGGCAGGCTCGGATGCAACTCCTGGGAGGTCAAGTTCTGATTGTGCCCTGGTCCGAAGTCTGGCTGAATCCGGCTTCATCCCGCTTAATCCGGCTTACGCTTAATCCCGCTGAATGCGGCTTAATCCCGCTTAATGCAAGGCCCACTCCGGCGTAACAGCCCCCCATGGCGCTTAATCCGCCCCAATCCTTCCGACGAAGACCTGCCAGTAGTTGCCTCCTAAGGCAGGGCTTGCCGATCGGCTTCTGGGCAAATACCTCTGGCAGGGCGCCTCTGCAGGGGAGCGACGTGCTCCGCGCCACGCCTGCTCTGCGCAAATTCGTCTGCCCCGAGCCCGGGGCGGGCGCCCAAGACAGAACTTCCGCTGCAAGAGTCTTGGTAGTGTTGTCCGAGGCGGGAATTTATCCATGACCACCGCCTGGAGGGTCAGTTTTCGGAGCCTCGGCGGGCGGTGAATATGGACATATTCGGGCTCCCGGGGGCCGAAATATATCCATATCCACCGCCCGCTAGGGCACCAAGACGTCGGTTCCCAGGCGGTGGATATGGATAAAGCCCCGCCTCGCATGTTGCGCATGGTTGGGTAAGGATGCAACTCCTCGAAGGTTGCATTCAGGATCGGCGCAAGAAAAATCCCTGGTCGAAAACTGGCTCACTCTGGTTTTATCCCGCTTTTTCTGGTTTGCTCCAGCCTAATCGGGTTGATTCCGGATGAATCCCGGGCTTCACGTGGCCTAATCCGACATATTGGCCCCCTAAGCGGGCTTAATCGCCTTTATTCGTTCTTACGAACACCTCACAGGAGTTGCCGCCGAAATCGGAGATGCAGCAGTGGGGGACCCACAGGAAGAGGAGGCTGCGGCTGCGGCAGCAGGTGCCTCGCACGATTGGGGACGGTGGGCATCCTCCCTCGTTCGTGCGCAGCGTGTGCCAGCAGGGGCCCGCGCCGTTAATGATTGGTGTGGCGAGGATTTGGAGGTTGGGACAGGGAGCGGTGGCCTTGGCGGAGCAGGAGGAGTATGGATGATGACGATGATGACGATGATGATGATGATGATGCTGATGATGATGCTGATGGTGATGGTGATGGTGATGGTGATGGTGATGATGATGATAATGATGATTATGATGCTGATGATGATGAAGATGGAGATGAATATTAATATGAACATGCATAATGCTAATATTATGGTATTGATGATGAGATAGTGGTGATGATAATGCTGATGCTGGCGGTGATGACGATGCTGATGCTGACGTTGATGATGCTGATGCTGCTGCGGCTGCTGCTCCTGGTGATGATGCTGATGATGATGACGATGATGCCGATGACGATGCTGATGACGATGGTGGTGATGGTGGTGATGATGATGATGATGATGGTAGTCGTGATGATGATGGTGATGCTGATGCCGATGATGATGCCGATGATGATGATGATGGAGATCAAGATGAAGATGAACATGCATAATTAGAAGATGATGGTGATAATGCTGATGGTGGTGATGATGATGATGCTGGCGTTGATGACGATGATGATGCTGACGATGATGATGCTGATGCTGCTGCGGCTGCTGCTCCTGATGGTGATGCGGATGATGATGACGATGATGCCGATGACGATGACGATGACGATGGTGGTGATGATGATGATTGTAGTGGTGATGATAATGATTGTGATGATGATGACGATGTTGAGGATGATGATGATGATGCTGATGATGATGATGGTAATGGTGATGGTGCTTATAATGCTGATGATGATGCTGATGGTACGGATGGTGATGGCGATGGTGCATGGTGATGCCGATGTTGATGATGCTGCTGATGATGATATTGATCATGATGACGCAGATGATGATGATGATATGATGTTGTTTACGATGTTGTTGATGGTGGTGATGATGATGACTATGAGGATGATGATGGTGATGATGATGATGATGATGATGATGATGATGATGATGATAACGCAGACGATGACGATGGCAATGATTGAGATGACTATGCTGCTGTTGATGATGGTGATGATGCTGATGATGCTGATGCTGATGATGACTGTACAAGTGATGGTGATACTGATTCTGCCGATGCTGATTATGATGCTGATTTGGACGACGACAACGGTGATGACGACGATGATGTTGATGCTGATGATGATGAGGATGGATGATGACGCTGCTGCTGTTGATGGTGATGACGACGATGACGATGATGATGGTGATGATGATTGCGATTTTGACGGTGATGATGATGATGATAACGATGATGATGATGATGATGATGATGATGATGATGATGATGATGATGATGATGATGATGATGATGATGATGATGATGATGATGATGATGATGATTATGCCGATGATGATGATTATGATGATGATGCTGATGATGATGCTGATGATGATGGTGATGATGCTGATGATGGTAACGATGCTGATGATTCTGATGATGTTGATGATAATGGTAATGATGATGATGATGATGATGATGATGATGATGATGATGATGATGATGATGATGGTCATGGTGATGGTGATGGTGATGGTGATGGTGATGATGATGATGCTGCTGATGGTGATGGTGATGATGAGGGGGAGGACTGAGAAGCTGAGTGTGATGGTGATGATGATCATCCTAACGATGACGATGACGATGATGGTGAGGATGCTGCTGCTGCTGCTGCTGCTGATGATGATGATGATGATGATGATGATGATGATGATGATGAGGCCGACGATGCTGATGCTGGTGACGATGATGGTGCTGGTGACGATGACGATGCTGATAATGATATCAATGATGGTGATGACGACGAGGTCGATGAGGATATTGCTGATGCCACTTCTGATGATGCTGGTTGATTCTGCTGATGATGATGGTGATGATGATGATGCTGGCGGTGATGACGATGATGTCGTCGACGACGGTCACGAGGAGTATGCTGTTGATGTTGATGTTGGTTATGGTTATGGTGATGATGACGACGATGATGATGCTGATGATGACGATGGTGGTGATGATGATGATGCTGATGCTGATGATGATGATGATGATGATGGTGGTGGTGGTGATGATGATGATTGTGCTGCCGACGACGTCGCCGACGAAGACGAAGACGACGATGGTGGTGATGATGATGGTGCTGATGATGCTAATGATGCTGACGATGATGACGACGCAGATGATGATGGTGAAGGAGTCGATGGCACTGGAGGAAGGGGTGGAGTTGAGTGCGCGTTATCACAATGCGATCCAGATGTGACTGCCTCGTCGCCCCAGCTGCCGGCTGGCGGCGAGTCAGAGCTTGAGGCCAGAACCTCCGAACCAGGGCGAGCGTGGAGACCAGAGCGCACGGCCGAGCGCGCGGTGGGTGGAGCCCGCCGGAGGTTGCGGAGCCGGTGGCGCAGCCCGTCGCTGCGGCGGCGGTGGCCGCGCCCGTGCCTGCGCGCCCGCCCACGGCGTGCAGCGGGGCGCTGCTGGACCGCGCGGGTCGGGCAGGCGTGGGGCCGAGGCTGGGGACGGTCTGGCAGGTCCTGCTCCAGCCTGTGGGCGATGTACTCCTCCTCCTCCTCCTCCTCCTCCTCCTCCTCCTCCTCCTCCTCCTCCTCCTCCTCCTCCTCCTCCTCCTAGAGAGAGAGAGAGAGAGAGAGAGGGGGAGAGAGGGGGAGAGGGAGAGAGAGAGAGAGAGAGAGACAGGTCTCTCCCTCTCCATTTCTGTATCTGTCTCTACATATCTATATATATATATATAGATGGACGCAAACAGTCCTTCCACGAGAAGTGGCGGAGCAGGACGAGCAAACTAGCGGCGAGCGGACGAGCAATTAAGCGGGCAATGTCGGCCGATTGGTCGAGCAAGAGGTTGATAGAACAGGTGTTGCCAGGGTTTGGAGAACACCGGGGACCGGTAATCGACGACGAAAGGGGTCACTTCCTCCTGCTCTTCTTCCTTCCTCGTCCTCCTCCGCCTCCTCTCCCTCATCCTCCCCGTGCCCCTCGCCTGGGGCCTCTCCCTATTCTCCCCGTCCCCCGTCCCCGTCTGTTCGTTCCCGTCCACCGCCACCACCTCCCCCGTTCTCCAAATCCCTCCGCCTCTCCCTGCCCCTCTCCCTCCCCTCTGTCCCCCTTGCAGGCTGGTCCCCTCGAGGCTCCATCTGTGCTGGGGGGAGATGGGGCACGGCGGCAGGTTGCTGCAACAGGGTGCCCTCGCTCAGATGGGCTCTACGGGAAGGGGGCCGTGACGCCAAATGCTTCAGAGGCCAGTGGCCCATGGGTGGGGACCGCAGTCGACCAGTACACGCATCACCCAGGCTCAGATGGAATGCTTTGGGAACAGAAGCCTGGGAGGGTCGGGTCGCGGGCGGACGCGTTCTGCCCAGAGTGGCCTTCGCAAGACGACATTGTGCGTATGGAACCAGCACCAATAACCGGCGCTTGCCTCCACCGAGGGACGCTCGGCGATGATGGTAATATTCGAGCGTCGTAGGTGGACGAACTATCACCACCACCACCACCACCACCACCACCACCACCACCACCACCACCACCACCACCACCACCACCACCACCACCACCACCACCACCACCACCACCACCACCACCACCACTCAAATCCAGGATCACTTTCACCTGGTGGGGCTTCTTCCTGTGTTGGTGCTGGTGCCAATTTCCACTCCTCCACCTCCTCGCCCCGCACGCCCCCTCGGGGCGAGCGAGGGGAGGCAGCGGAGGAGACGGGAGGGGGCCGGGAGAGGGTCGGAACGGGGAGGGAAAGGGGCTGTGATCTGGCAGCACCCTTCCCCGCTCCTCCTCCTTCGCCTCTTCGTCCTCCTCCTCCTCCTCCTCCTCCTCTTCCTCCTCCTCCTCCTCCTCCTCCTCCTCCTCCTGGCTCCCTCTCCTCGAGGAGGAGAGCCTCGCGGTCGTCGAGGCCGGCACCCCGGCGGCGCCGGGCGCCGGCGGCGCTGGCCCGCAGCTCCGAGCACCGGAGGCCCACGGCGCGTGTGCCGCAGCCATGCCGCAGGAGAGGGGCGGGCGGTGGTGTGCGCGGCGGAGTGGGGAGAGAGGAGAGCGGCAGGGGTGGGCGAGAGGGATGGGGGTGAGGATTCAGGAGCGAAAGAAGGACGTACATGTACATGAATCCACGCTGGTTTCGAGCTTCCTAATTATAGGAAGCCCCGCGGCGCAGTGGGTGAGGCCCCCCACACTGAGGCAGAAGGCAGGGGCAAGGGGGTGGCGGCGTCTAAATAGCCCTTGTAGAACGCCATACCCCTCTAGCTTTTCCCTGGCTGCCAGGAGGATGTGCTCCCACTGTGCAGTGTCCATCCGTCATTTGTTTTTGAAAGGATTCAGTTGAGTTGATTGTGGAGGGCGTGGGGAAAGAGGAGGAGGAGCAGGAGGAGGAGGAGGAATAGGAGGAGGAGGAGGAGGAGGAGGAGGAGGAGGAGGAGGAGGAGGAGGAGGAGGAGGAGGAGGACCATAGCCTTTTTCTGGGTACTGAGGAGGGGGGCCCTGCCGCGGTTCGCGGCAGGGTGGATCGCAGCAGTCGTTTCAGGCCCCCCCCGGGCCCATTTAGCCCCCACAGCCATACTTCTGTAGCTGCGCGTGTTGGCTTCATCGGGGAAAAAGGTAGCGTCCCGCGCGCGAACGCCATCGAGCCGCTCGCGGGCCTCAAGGCTGCCCTGGCGGCGGAAATTGAGGATCACTGGCCTGTGGCCGAGTTTCTCCGGCCCCTTCCGCTTAACGACGCGGCCCGCGTACTCGGGCGTGCCAACTGATTATGTCGGTGGTGCGTCCAGGCGGGGGCCACCTGCGAAAGGTGCGAAGCGGCCTCGTTCCGCGCAGCCCGAGGGCCGTCCGAAGGCAGCAAGACCGGGAGATGATGGAGCGAGCAAGGGGAAGGACGGTGCGAGCAGAGGCAAGAGCACGACGAGGGCCAGCAGCCGCGCGCCAGATGACCAACGAGAGTTTCGGAGGCGCCGTGCTGAGAACCCGACGCAGTGGGATGATTCGCAGAGCTCGGGCGCAGCCTCTTCTGGATACACGCCGACGCCACGTCCTCCAGCAGCCCAGGATTTTCGCCATAACGCTCCATGGCGCTCTGGTACGGAGGCGCCGAGGCACCAGACTTGGCGCGGGCACGACGCAGCGGAGCAACAGACCACTGATTCTTCCACCCCTTGGCAGGGCAGTGCCAATAACTGGTGGTCATCATGGATGTGGAGCTCCGATGGCTGGAACGACGATAGCTGGGGCCCACGTGGCCGCTGGTGAGGGTGGTGAGAAGGGAACGAGGAGGGGGACAGCGACGACGTCGCTGGGCTTCCACTCGAGTTCAGTAATGTTCCGGCTCGGCGGCGTCCGTTTGGGAAGGCTGAGTCGCCGTAAGGCAAGGGTGCGATGCACCTGCGTCGAGCGCGCGGCGAGCCAGTCTGGGGCCAGACTGCGGGGCGCCGCAGGCGCCGACGCTTCTATAAACATGTTGGGGCGTTGCCTAAAACAGGAATGTCCGCCCGTGCGTGTGTGGAGCACGCCAGGCTGGCCGCGGTGGGGGGGTCGTTTTAGGCGCCCACCCAGGCCTGTTTAGCCCCCGTAGCGATACTTCCGTAGCTGTGCGTGTTGGCTAAAATCAGGCAAATGGCAGCGTCCCGCCCGCCGCGCGCGCTTTCCCCGGGCACACCCTCTCGGCCTGCCGGCCCTCTCTTATTCACAGGGTGAGCCTAAGCTTAACGGATACACATGCCACACTCATGGCGTATAGGGTTACATCGCTTATTTCACGTTCATCGAGGATGAACCTAAGCAAAAGGCTTCAAGGACCTGATGGAAAACTGCTTATTCATATGGCCAAACATATGCCAATGCCATCGAAGGACTTGCAGCATGTTCTGCCCATGGGTGACAATCATCCGAGCCCCCCCCGAACTTTGAACAGGGATTCCGCCATGTGGACACCTCCCTGTAGTTAGGCAAGAAGCAGGAGGAGGAAGAGGAGGAGGAGAAGGAGCAGGAGCAGGAGCAGGAGCAGGAGCAGGAGGAGGAGCAGGAGCAGGAGGAAGAGGAGGAGGAGGAGGAGGAGGAGGAGGAGGAGGAGGAGGAGGAGGAGGAGGAGGAGGAGGAGAAGGAGGAAGTGGATAAAGAGATGTGGCCTACGGCAGGCCTCGCCTGAGCAGGCGGCGTTGGGGCCGCTGCCGGCCATTCCGCCGCCACCGCCAGAGGACTCGCCGGCTTGTGCCCAATCGTAGGCGGACCGAGGTTTTGTCGCGGGCCTGGCCAGGCAGTGGCAGGGGCTGGGGGCCACCTGGTCATGTTGAGGGCCAGGGGGGTCCGATGTTCAATGTGAGGGGGGTCGCTGGTGCACACTGGCGGTCTGGGCGCGCCTCGTTGTTGGTGGAATTGAAAGTGGCACGGTGCCCGCAACCTGCCCCTTTGCATATCATGGACTCTCTGCTCGGAACGGCGTAGGGGAAAGATCTTGCGACTGGGCGTTGTCGAGAAGCTACGGCTCGATGCCCACGATTATTGCAGTGCCATTATGCACGTAGGCTTCCCGCGTCCTGACTTCTGGACTTGTCTGAGCCTTCGTGCACGGTGCTCGGGGGGGGGGCGGTGTGTGTGCGCAGGCGAGGGGCCTAAGACCGCGGAGTATGTTCGGACGGACCACCCTTTAGTCCGATTTGCGCGCGCGCACGCTGGCCGTCGGCTTCTGCGGAGGAGGCTGCGCTGGGACTCCTCGGCTGCCCTTGTCGACCCTACCAGGGCCGCCTACAGTGAGCGGCTTGAATAAGGAACACTTACTTTTCAAAAGGGGTTCGGTCGTTCCTTAGGTTTTACATGCGTTATTTACAGTTCCTTATGCGTTATCTATTTTTCATCGTTCCTTATGCGTTTCTCCTTGGGATAAAAAGGGGCTCCGTTCCTTATTTATCGTTCCTTAGGTCAGGCCGATGACTGTACGATCCGATTCGACGCGGTTCGATTCGCGGCGTGGGGCCGCGATTCCGATCCGAGTTCAGTCGGTTCGTTTCGCCAGGCGTCGGCCGGGGCCAGCGGGAGCCGGGCGCGGCGCTCCGATGTCGATTCGATTCGGGATGCTTCGTTGGCGATCCGACCTGTTTCCGATCCGATCCTTTGCATCCAGTCTCACTTGCCTCTCGTTGCTCTCCATGCGTCCCGCTCTCGCTCTTCTCATCCTCGTCCGGTTGTCGTCGTCGCCCCCGCCGCCTGAGCTTCTCTCGTGGCCTCTCGTGAGGACGCGGGCGAGCTCTCTCCGAGAAGTGCCTCAGAGCGGGGCGGATGGGATGGGCCTCTTCCTGCCTGCGCTCTGCTCTTCTGCTCTGCCTCCTCCTCCTCCTCCTCCTCCTCCTCCTCCTTCTCTTCCTCGTCTTGCCTACTGCTGCTGCTGCTGCTGCTGCTCCTCCTCCTCCTCCTGTCTCCTCGCCTACTGCTCCAGTCTGCTGTCCTCCTGCCTCGTCCTCCTCCTTCGGAGTCCAGTCTTCCTGTCCTCCTGTTCCTCGTCCTCCTCCTTCCCATCTCCTCTCCGCTCCTTCTCTTTCCTTCTCCTCTCCTCCTTCTCCTCTCCTCTCTCCGTTCTCCTCGTCCTCCTTCTTCTCCTCTCTCTCTCCGTCTCTCCTCCTGTCCTTCTCCTCGTCCTCCTTCTCCTCCGTCCGTTCTCCTCGTCCTCCTCCTCCTGTCTCTCCTCTCTCCGTTCTCCTCGCTCTCTTCTTCTCCTCTCTCCGCTCTCCTCGTCCTCCTCCTCTCCTCTCCTCTCTGCTCCTCCGGGGGCGTGCGGATGTGCCGATGGTGCGCGCGCGGGTGCGGCGTCTGGACGAAGGACCCCAGCATGAACAAACGGCAGGCACCAGACTGCCCCTGCCACTGGGCGACAGTGGACGCAGTGACCGTCCGGCGGCACTGGCGGCGCCGCCGGTGGCGGCGTCGCCGTCGAGCCCGACAGGCCCGCGCAGCCTTCGCGGGCCGCCTTGGCCCAGCCGCGGACGTCATCGCGGAGTTCGCAGGGTGTGCCGATCCGCGTTATCCGACGGGATCGCGCACTCCACCGGCCGGGAGCTCTCCACTGCTGCCGGCGCTGCTGCTGCCCCCTGGCAGCCGGCTGGACGCCCCCTGGCGGCGCTCCCGCCTGCGGCGCCGCGCCCAGGCAGGGCGCCGCGCCGCTCGAGTGGCCCAAAGGCACCTCGCAGGAGACGGCCTTCACCGTGTAGGCCAACCACGTTGGCGGGTACTTTTTACATGCCCTGCAAGAAGAACACGTTGGACGAGTACAGGCACGACCACCTGCTGGCCGACCTCTTCTCGACCACGACGGTGGAGATGTTCGCGTACCAGCAGTGCGTGTGGGACTGCTTCGATGCCAACGTCCACGAGTTCGTGCCCGGCTCCCGGAAGGTGCAGTACGGAAACCGCGACGACCTCTTCGTGCGCACGAACATCATCACCAACGGGCCGGCCGACACCTTGCCCGCCGGGTTTGTCTGGCGCGAGGTGCCACTCCTGGACCAGAGCCAGATCTCGGCGACCCTGCCGGCTGGGGAGACAGACCACGGGCGTTGTGCTTCCCGCAGCCATCACGCCGTGAGCCAAGAGCCCTGCACCCCCAAGGCCCTCACGCCCACCCGGGATGGGGGCCTACGGAAAGGCATGAGCCAAAAGTGTTTCGGATGAAGTTGTTGATGTTGTTGATGATGATGATGTTGCTGCTGCTGATGATGATGATGTTGCTGCTGCCGATGATGATGCTGATGATGATGCGGATGATGCTGCTGATGATTAGGGTGGTGGTGGTGATGATGATGAGGTTGGGGGCGGCAGTGATGATGGTGAAATTGATGATGATGCTGATGATGATGATGAAGATAAGTATGGTGGCTATGATGGTTTTGATGATGTTGACGATTATGATGCTCATTCTCCTGCGGATCATCATGACGCTGCTGAATGATGGTGTCGACGTCGACGACGCAGAATAATATTATTGTCGGCAGTAAGAAGATGATGTTGATGACGATCATGATGATGATGATGATGATGCTGCTGATGCTGATGATGCTGATGATGAGGATGATGACGACTGTGATGTTGTTGGTGATGATGCTGTTGATGCTTATACGGCTGCTGCTGATGCTGATGTTGATACTGGCGATGATGACGAGGATGATGATGGCACCGATGACGATGACGATGACGTCGACGATGGTGGTGGTGATGATGATGATGAGGAACAGGAGGAGGAGGAGGAGAAAACACCGACGCCTGGCCTCTCCGCTCCCTCCGCGTCAAGCGCGCGAGGTACGAGGACACCAGACGACTGCTGGCACGGGCGCAGCAGCAGGTCGGGCGCGCCGCCCTGGCCGGCCGCGCCGGAGGCGGCGGCGTCGCCGCCGGCACGGCGGGGCCGCCGTGAGCCGTGGGGACATCGGTCGGCGGCCTCGCTTTCGGCCTCGGCCCTCGGAGGAGGTCGGGCGGGGCTACACCGCCCTGGAGAAGTAATGCAATTCTGATCGTCGATGGGTCTGTTTCGGTACCTTCGGTTTTTCCCAACCGTCTCCTGTGGTGTTGGGTCCACGTTTTGAATCAGCAGCGCCCCGCGTCTCCTCCTCTCTCCTTCTCCCCCTCCTTCAATCCCTGCCCCTGCCCCTCGTCACCATCAGCGCTCAATCGTGAAGCAAACATCGTCTCGATAGGAGCCGGCCTTCGCGGATAAACGTGATTTTAGTATGGTGTGGTGACGTTGACCCAGCCGGCCACTTGAGCCCAAAAAGAAACAAACAAAACGCGCGCACTATGCGCACCCTTGACACGCTTCTTGGCCCCATAGGGACTTCCATCGAAGGCCCCAGCGATGGGGTCCGCATGGCGTACTCGCACCCGATTTGGCACACACCTCACACGCTTCGTGGCCCCACGAGGAGCTCCACCGAAGGCCCCAGCGGCAGCGTCCGCATTGCGCACCCGCACCCAATTCTTGACGCTTCGCGTATCCCCACCAGCGCTACAGCTCCTTCCACGGATGTGCCTCTGATGCTGCGACGGTTCGCTGGCGCTGTCAGAGTACCTTCCTGCAGGACCGCGTCTCCAGCTTTGTCTGCTCATACCCGTCAGACTCCCTGGACTGACTTCCTGCTTGGATTTCGTTCCCTACCAACTGTCGTTTTGCTACGATCACGGCGGGAGCGTCCACGCGCCATTTTGGCGGCGTTTTAATTCTCGGTGGTAGACAGACTCCCTGGGTTTGCCACTTGCACGTTTCCTGGGCGTTTCTTGCAGACTCCCTGGAGTGCACGCTCGCCTGGCTTCTCAGACGCCCTGGGTCGCCGCCCCCCCCCGCCGCCTGATCCGCGGCCCCCGCGCGCGCCCGGGAACTTAGTCGCGGCCGCAGCCCGACCGTGACCGCCCGCCGTCGGCGCTTTCGCCTGCGGCTGTAAAAAAACAAAAAGTATCCCCACCAGTGGCCCCACATGCGGGTCCGGCCTTTCCGCCCTCCCCCCTTCCGCTGGCACACGCTCAGTGGCTTTTGGGGTCCGCGTGGTGGCGCCAGGGGTCCAGCTGGTGTCTGCACGGTTGCCTCTTTTGCTGGCACATGTCCAGCGTCGTTAATTTTCTGCTGGTGCCTACTCGGTTGCCTGCTTTGCTGGCACAGTGTCAGCGTCGCTATTTGTATGCATTAATTCCCCCACCCCCGTCTGCTGGCACACGCCCAGCGGCTTTTGGAGGTCGCGTGGTGGTGCCCGGGCTTCAGCTGGCGCCTTCGCGGTTGCCTCTTTGGCTGGCACTTGTCCAGCGCCGATAATTGTCTGCTTTCCCGTGCGCCGTGCCCCAGCCTCGTTCACACCGCCCTCTGGACTTTTCCTTTCGGGCCGCGAATCAAACAAGTATCCCCACCAGCCAGGCCCCGTCATCGAGGGCCACGCGGCCAAGGGTCCTGCGCCCGTTCCCTGTCCTGCCCCCCCTTGCTCCCCGTCGGGCACTTTTCAGTGCAAGTCTACGGCTCGAGCCCCATTTCCCGCTCACGAAACTCCAGGCCGCGGCTTTGCCCACCTTCCCCCCGTTCATATCGATACTCCGTGTTGCCACTCAGCCTGTCTCGGAGCGCAACGCGTGCTTTCTTGAGGACAGCGACCTCGGTCTGCTGGGTACAGCTTCCACCAAACTATACAGAGTGGCATCAATCGCGCTGACCCTGTGGGCCAGATGGGCCCCCGACGTGCCATGCGGGGCCCAATGGGTCGGCAGCCCCATGGTCCTCGAGCGCCCCTTCGCGGCCCACAGGCACGCAATCGGTGAGGATAAGATGGCGCGGGCGGAAGACCCCCACGGGCCACGTCGACCAAGAGCTGTCCCGTGACCAAGGGGGCTCGTTTCACCGCAGTGACAGGCAACAGCCTTAATACCCGTGTCACCTCCTGGGGGCGAGGTGCACAAGTCACACTGCATATAGACCCCCACAGGTCTTCGTGGGCCTTTAGCCCGTGTGGTATGGCTGCAAAAATCCTGCCCACGGCTCACTTTGGCCGTGTTCACGAGGACATGAGCCCGATTCGCCCGCTAGGGCGCACACCTTGGACGGCTGGGCGGCAGGCCTAAGGCGCCCCCCATGCGCTCCGCACCCTCGACGTCCGACTGCCCCGCACTGATGACGTTCCCCCCACCAGGCGGCGCCGCACGCCGACGACATACCGACTGCGCGTGTTGGGTCCTCGACAAACGATGCCAACATCTGGTTCCTCTTCCCCCATTTATTCAAGTGTTCTGCGGCTATCGGCTGCGCCTTCCTCCCCTCCCTCCTGACGCCCTCGACGGCTGTGGTGTCTGACCGACGACGTGTGACGTTCACAAGACCCGCTCAACACAGGCAGGGGCCACCATGGTCCTCGTAAGTCCCGTGGCTGCCCACAGGCAAGCATCGGGCGAGGAGAAGACGTCGGGGGCGGATGGCCCCCCACGGGCCGCGACGGCCGTGGGCAGTCCCTTCACGAAGGGGGCACGTTTCACCGCAGTGACAGGCCCTGGCCTCAATGCACGTGCTACCTCCTGGGAGTGAGGTGCACACTCGCACTGGGCTTAGACCCCCACGGTACTCCGTGGGCTCTTAGCCCGTGCGGTCTGGCTGCAATAACCCTGCCCACGGCCCACTTTGGCCTCGCAGGGACACGGGCCCGAGTCGCCCGCTGGGGCGCTCACTTTGGATGGCCGGGGCGGCAGGCCGAGGGCCCCCCCCGTGCGCTCCACACTCCCGAAGTCCGACGGCCTTGCCCATGTGAAATTTCCCCCCCTCGCGACGGCGCCACACGCCAACGACACACCGACTTCACGTGTTGGGTCCTCGACTGGCGGCGTTAACATCTGGCGCCTCCTCTCCATGTGTTCAAATGTTCTGCGGCTATCGGCTGCGCCTCCTCTCCTCCCCTCCTGTCGCCATCGACGACTGCTGAGGGGTGACGACGTCGTGCAGTGTGGCTCTGGCCTAATACCTTGGGGTCACCTCCCGGGGACGAGGTGCCCCCTCTCAGCACTGCGTGCTGGTGCTGTGCTCGCCTGGGATGGCGGGGGCTTTCGGCCAGAGGCATCTTGCAGGCCTGGCCTTTCCACGTGTTGGCCGTTCCGCTATTCGGCGCCGTCGCCCTGGAGTACGACTTCCAGTTCATGTGGTGCATACTGCGGCAGGTCCATGCCTCCTCCTGGCCGACGTTTCCCCCCCGGCGTTGCCGACCGTTGCTTCCTCCTCTGGGAGTGGTTCCCGCTCGCTGTCGCCATCGACATCCTGCCCGTCTGCGCTGATCAGGTGGTGCACTCCTTCCTGCAGTTCCCCCCTGACGGGACACTGGGCACGGTGTCGTAGTGCCCGCCCGTGTTTGGACCTGGGTCGGCTCGCCGGCGAGCACCTGGTACTCCGTGAGTAAGGCAACCCGCGTTTCCCCCCCCTTTCTTCGTCCCTCCGTCGCCTCGCTGGTCCCCCCCCTCCGTCCTTTCGTCGCCCTGCTCGTCGCCTGGCTTCCTAGTGCTGGTGCAACGTCGCCACGCGCGGCTGCCCGCCTGCCCGTTTTCCCCAATTTGTCTGCATGTTGCACGACTATATCTGGCTCTGTGCCCCAGTTCGCCTGATTGACGCGCCCTCTGGACTCTTCCTTGCGGGCCGCAGATCAAAGGAAGTATCCCCGCCAGCGCCCCGGACTTTGCTTTCGCCGCCTGACCCTTGTCTCGCGGCCGCGACCAAAAAAATATCCCCGCCAGCCCATCCAGAAGTGATTGCCAGTTTTGAAGCCTCTTTGGAGGCTATCTTGAGCCATGCTCGGCTATTGGTTGTCGGAGGCTATATTGAGCCATGCTCGGCTGTCTTGGGCCATCTTGAGGCTGTCTTGAGGTTTCTTGGAGGTCTGTCGGAGGCTATCTTGAACGATGCTTGGCAATCTTGGGCCATTTTGAAAACCAGATTTGCTTATCTAGGGCTCTCTTGGAGCCATATTGGGCCAAACAGGGCGGTTTGGAGGGTCTTTGGGGAGAGGCTGGGAGGCCTCTTGGGGTCATCTTGGGCCCCATGGCTCAAAAAAAAGGAGGTCTCTCAATTCGCATCGCCCCCTCGGAGGCTTTCAAACGGCATCTTGGGGCCGTCTTGGAGCGCTCTTGGGCGCCTCTTGGGCGATCTTTGGGCCGTCTTCGGCCTTCTTGGGCCCCTCTTGGGCTTCTTTTGGGGCCATCTTGGGGCCATTTTGGGGCCTCCAAAGCCCATCGGGAACGAAAAGGCGATAATGCCAAACACATTGATTATCCCTAGGCTTTTGAAGGGTTTTGGTATCTTGGAGGGCGCCGTGGAGGGCTCGGAGGGCACTCGGATCCGTCTTGGGGCTGTCTTGGGGCCTCTTGGGGGTATGTCGGAGGCTATCTTGACCCATCTTGAAGTAGCATGGGCCATTTTGTAGGCCATCTGGTGACTTTGAAGCCCTCTTGGAGCCTTCTTGGGCCATCTTGGACGCTGCGGTGCCTCCGCCCCCCCCCCCCTTTCCCAAGCCCAGGGGAGGGGGTAGGGGGAGGGGTAGAGCGAAGAAAAAAACGCGCTATACCACCTAAGCCCAGAGGGCTTGTGGGATTCAGCGCACCTCTTCACACACTTCGTGGTCCCAGAAGGAGCTCCTCCAAAGGCCCCAGCAGTAGGGTGTTCCGCATGACGCACCCGCACCCTAGTCGGCACTCCTCACACGTTTCGTGGCCCCACAGGGATTTATTTGGCGCCCCCTCTACACGCTTCGTGTCCCCACAGGGAACTCCACCGAAGGCCCCAACGGCAGGGTGCGCATGGCGTACCTGCACCTGAGTCGGCACACGCCTACGCGTTTCGTGGCCCCGAACGGAGCTCCACCGAAGGCCCCAGCGGCAGCGTCCGCATGGCGCCTCCGCGCCCGACTCGGCACACGCCTCACACGCTTCGCGGCCCCACAGGGAACTCTACCGAAGGCCCCAGCGGCAGCGTGCGCATGGTGTACTCGCGCCCGATTCGGCACGCCCCGTACACGGCTCGTGGCCCCATAAGGAGCTCCATCGAAGGCCCCAGCGGCAGTGTCCGCACTTCGTGCGCGCACCCGGTTCGGCACACGTTTCACATGTTTCGTGGCCCCACAGGGAGCTCCAACGGCAGGGCCCGATGCAGTACACCCTTCACACGGCTCGTGGCCCCAAAGGACGCCCCACCGAAGGCCCCAGCGGCAGCGTCCGCAAGGCGTACCCGCACCCGATTCGGCACCTGTTTCACACGTTTCGTGGCAAGAGGGAGCTCCGAACGCCCCAGCGGTAGGGTGCGCATGGCGCCTCCGCACCCGATGCAGCACACGCCTCACATTTTTGGTGGCCCCATAGGGAGCTCCACCGAAGGCCCCAGCGGCAGCGTCCGCATGGCGCACCAGCCCATTTAGGAACTCCTTTCATCCCTCACTCTCGCCTTCTTCTCACTTGCCTCGAGGTACTCGCAGCTCCATATGATTGGGCCCTTCGCCAGGACAGTTACTGCCCTGGAAAAGCAAAACAACTTCAGTTGTCGATTTGGTTGTTTCCGTCGCCTTCTTTCGGTCGTAGTTTTTGGCCCCAGGGCCGTCTGACACAGACCTAGAATGAGACTGTCCCCAACGAAGTCGCCCGGGCGATTCTTCGACACGACCTGCAAGACATACGTCATTTTCCAGAGGGATGTATGCTGGGGATCCATCGCTGCAGAGCGTTCCGGAACGCTCTCAGAGTGTTCTAGAGCGCTCTGGAACAGCATCTGCGCCCGATACATCCCCAGAACCTCGGGATCTCAGCGATGCCCGATTTATCCTGGTCCGATCTTGTATTGGTCCTGGCTTCTTCTTCGGCGGGGGGGCGCCCGACGCCTCCTCCTAGGAGGCTCTCGTTGCAGGCACGGACGTAAGGCGCGTGGATCAGCGACGGGCCCCGTTCCCATGGCAGAGTTCGGCGCGCTCCGTCGCCGAACCAGGCGGGACGCGGCTTCGCGTGTCGGGGCGCCCTGTCCCCGATGCGTGGATTTGGCGCCCACTCGCCAGATCCACGGATCCGCAACCGACGTCAGCGTGTGCCCGAGCAGTTGTGGTCACCAGCCCACTCCTCCCCCCACCCATACGGCAGGTTCGCTTCGTGTCTGCGCGGTGGTGGCCCTGCCGCGGGCGTTCCAGGATGAGCGCCGCCGATGGCCCAGAATCGGCCAACTCGTAACGACCGAGCGTTAGAAAAGCTGCCGATCGCTCCAGGCCGAACGATCCACGAGGTGTCAGAGACCAGCGAAGGCGCTGTCACGACACTCGGAGGGAGGAGAAGCGACACCAACACCACCAGTGGGCCCACCTCCAGCGAGGAGGTCCACGATGCCTCCCCGAGCTGGAGGCTGGGGATACCTCGCGCGAGGGGTAGACCACACCACCAGGGAGACACCCCCTTGCCTCCTCGCACCTCCTCGCCCTGGAGGTGTTGGTGTCGCCTTTCCTTGTTCCCAGACGCGGCTCTGCCGAACCCTCCCCTATGAGGGAGGAGTTGGCGGCGCGCGCCGCGGGCGTGGGGGCCGAGGTGGGGGGCCGGCCCCCCGCGAGGGCGGGAGGGCCTCCTCGCAAGCCCCGGAGGCCTTCCGCTCACCCCCCCGAAGCAGCCCCCTGCCCTGACAGGCAGCACCCTCGCCCCACCCCCCCTTCAAAACCAGCCTGGGGACGAGGTCTCTGACCACTCTTGCCCATTTCTTTTTATGTTTGGGCCAGGTCTCATTTTGTCTTCCAAAATCCGCCTGGAGGAGGACAGGTCCGACCTGCAGTCAGCCATGACAGTAAGGATGGGGCAACTTTCCAGGGCTACCCTTGCATGCTTGCCCCTTCGGTATTCGGCATCCCTCGGCATTCTGCTGCGCTCCGCACGGAACACGTCGACATGGCGTTCCGAGGCCCTTGCATCGTCACCGCGCATCCCTCCTGTCCTGGTCGAGTGCAGCCCCACCTGCGTGCGTGCGTGCCGAAGGCGGCCTCCTCGCCCCGCTCCCTCGTGGAGGAGGAGGAGGAGGAGGAGGAGGAGGAGGAGGAGGAGGAGGAGGAGGAGGAGGCCGGGCCCCGGGGGGGGGGGGGGCCCTCCCTGCAGGCCCAAGGCCCAGGCGCCCAGCGCCTCACTCTTTCGCTGCGTGGGCCCCCGGAGGTCTGGACTGATGAGCCCGCTTTCTGCCGCCACCACCACCATACCTAAGCTGGGGTAGGGGGGGGAGGGAGGAGGAGGAGGAGGAGGAGAGGGAGGAGGAGGAGGAGGAGGAGGAGGAGGAGGAGGAGGAGGAGGAGGAGGAGGAGAGGAGAGGAGGAGGGAGAGGGAGGAGGAGAGGGAGGAGGAGAGGGAGAGGGGAGGAGGAGGAGGAGGAGGGGGAGGAGGGGAGGAGGACCCGGTGGTGGTGGTGGTGGTGGTGGAAAACACGCCCATCATGGACGACTTTCCGAGGGCCGGTTTTCCGTGGGGAGTGGTTCTGTTGACGGTCCCCGAGGCTCTCAGAGGCCGAGCAATCGACAAGCACTGCCCGCTCCAATGTTTCCCAACCGTCCATTTGGTGTCGGGACTTCGTTTGGAAGAGGCAGTGCCCAGCGTCACGCACTCCTCCTTCCTCCTCTCTTTCCTCTCACCCCTGCCTCAGCATTCCGCGTGTCAGCAATTTCATCGCGCCGCTCACACGTTTCGTGGCCCCATAGGGGGCTCCGCCGAATGAGCCCCAGAGGCAGTGCTCACATGTGTCCCTGCGCCGATGTCGGCGCACCCCTTCACACGTGTCGTGGTCCCACAGGGAGTTCTGCGGAAGGTACCAGTGTTTGCGTTCGCATGGCGTCGCTGTAACATTTTTAGAGCTCCCCTCACATGTCATGGCCCCGCAGGGAGCTCCACCGAAGGCTTCCAGGACCTTGTTCGCGTGGCGTCGCCGCACTCATTTCGGCGTACCCCTCACACGTTATGTGACCACACAGAGAGCTCCGCCGAAGGCCCCCCGAGTGGCTGCATTTGCATGGCGTCGTCGCACCCATTTTGGCGCACCGCTCGCACGGTTCGTGGCCCGACAGGGAGCTCCGCCGAAGGCCCCGTGGCTGCGTTCGCATGGCGTCGCCGCACCTATTTCATACGTTTTGTCGCCACAAGGAGCTCCATCGAAGGCCACAATGGCTGCGTTCGCATGGCGTAGTCGCGCCCATTGCAGCGCATCCCTTCACGCGTCTCGTGGCCCGACAGGGAGCTCCACCGAAGGCCCCAGTGGCTGCGTTCGCATGACGTCGCTGCACCCATATCTGCGCCCCCCTCGCATATTTTGTAGCACCCAAATGAAGCTCCGTCGAAGGCTTCTGAGCT